AGCCCAGCTTAAAGCATATAGTATCATCACCTCACTGCAAAGAGACTTCTCTGATTTTTTTAAAGAGTTACACAGAAATATAGAAGTGGTAGCAGTGCCTTCCATCAATATCCTTGCACTGGTGCCAATTCTAGACCAGTCACACAATTGTTCACATATAAAGGGGAGATAAGGAAGTTTGAGTGGGAGATGGGTAGGTGGATAAATAATTCTGGAAAAGGGGAAATCTGCTTCCTGCTCTAACGAAATGCTCACCAATGTCAGAGAATGGTAGGTGGATAAATAATTCTGGAAAAGGGGAAATCTGCTTCCTGCTCTAACGAAATGCTCACCAATGTCAGAGAATGGTAGGTGGATAAATAATTCTGGAAAAGGGGAAATCTGCTTCCTGCTCTAACGAAATGCTCACCAATGTCAGAGAGCAAAAAGTATCACATCCTTCAAAGAAAAGCAACAACCTTTGCTGCGTGGGAAGAAAGTAACTTTGCTTGGATTTCCACTTTTTTCTGTAATCTCCTCAGGCTAAATAAAAGAGAGATTCTGCAGCATGGTAGGTGGATAAATAATTCTGGAAAAGGGGAAATCTGCTTCCTGCTCTAACGAAATGCTCACCAATGTCAGAGAGCAAAAAGTATCACATCCTTCAAAGAAAAGCAACAACCTTTGCTGCGTGGGAAGAAAGTAACTTTGCTTGGATTTCCTCTTTTTTCTGTAATCTCCTCAGGCTAAATAAAAGAGAGATTCTGCAGCTATTGGGAATACATTGCCTTTTTCCAAAAGAGAACCACTTCTGTATAAACCTCAGGTGTGATTGCAAGAGGAATTTTTTTCTCTTCTCTAATGTACTTCCCTGTAGATTAAAAAAAGTGGCATTATTAATTTGGTATGAGGAAGGAATAGTCGCAAGGTCTTCAGAATAGTCCCAGGTATCTGACTGGGAACAGGCTTTTTTTTTTTAAATGCAGCTTTTGTATAATCACAGGTAACATACCTTATGATGTTTGAATACAATGCCTGTATCTTTTTCTAAAGTTTGCAGGAGCCCAGCTTAAAGCATATAGTATCATCACCTCACTGCAAAGAGACTTCTCTGATTTTTTTTAAGAGTTACACAGAAATATAGAAGTGGTAGCAGTGCCTTCCATCAATATCCTTGCACTGGTGCCAATTCTAGACCAGTCACACAATTGTTCACATATAAAGGGGAAGAGGAGATAAGGAGGTTTGAGTGGGAGATGGTAGGTGGATAAATAATTCTGGAAAAGGGGAAATCTGCTTCCTGCTCTAACGAAAT